TGACTGGTACACTTCCTTGGCCATGGCAGGCTTCGGAGAGGTGTGCTTTGGATGGCTCCATAGAAGAGCATGCAGAAATGAGGAGGAAAACTTGAATGTGTTGGTTTTTTATCTGGTGTTGATATTACTACATTCATTCTAGTGTATTGTCTGGACATGTCTTGGACTTCAGTGCATTATAGAGAGGGGATTATTGAGAAAAAAACATGTCATTGTATGCTGTGGCTCAAGCATAATCATGAAGACAAAATTATTACTTTGTTACAAACATGTTTGAATTTAATTTGGCCTTTTCCTTCTGATTAAATCTGCAATAGATACTAGTATGTTGTGGTTATTCCATTCCATAAACAGCTTTTATTGCTGAATTACTCATTGTGACCAACTCCATTTACATTTGGATTAAGAAATTGAAGTTTATAAATTAGAATGAGGCTCTATGCACATTTACCCTTGAGGTGCTGAAACACAGCCAAGCTCATGTGAACAAGTATTGTTCTCTCAATTGAATTCTAGCTTTCCCTTTAACTCTACTGCCAACCTCATATTTTTTGTCACAGGATTATGCTCCCATCCCTACATCACAGCATTGTTAGCCAGCTCCATTGCTTAAAATAAGTTGTTCATCCATCATGGTTGCCGTTAAAACAGTCAAGATTAACTATGCAGTTAAGTACAATATAGTGCAGAGAATCTCAGTAATAAAAGCTCTGACCATTAATCCCTAATGTACATATCCTGAGGAGATATCGTGAGGCAACTGGAGTTTTTTAAGCTCCAGTTAGTGTCACATTTTTCACAGGTATTCTTGACACAATTTCTTCTCTCCTCATCTATTAAAGTATCTTATGGATTGCATTGCTGGAAAACATATCTCTATGTAATATGAATACCCTCACACACACAACATAAAACAGAAAAATCAAACATTCTAACGAGGTGATTTATTGGATACGTGTACCAGATCTACAAGTGCAATAAAACTGTTTCCACATTCTTCAGGGATCTCTTTCTGCGGAGGTGTCAAACACTATTTCAACACTTGAGGGCTTTCTGGGGTTAATGTTGGGACCTAATTAACCCCATGTAAAATTTGTATGAGGAGCGCTTATTAACATTATGTTACAAGCGTTGATTAATTGTCTTGCCGGGATCACAACAGTCATGTAGTGATCGCTCTTATGCCTGCAAACTGTGTTTTCTTTCCACCCAGAGATCTGATGCTTGTCTACTACAAGAAAGTTCATCTATTATATAGAAAGCATTTGCTTTTGCGCTTGGGCGGCCTGCTAGCTTCCCCCTCCCTTTTGCCTGTCACTGTGTTGTGTACACGATGTTGGCCTCTTGGTGTGCAGTCTTGTCAGGAGAAACAAAGCAACCATGTCTGGCAGTGTCCTGAAATATTGAAGTGTCTCTCTGGTGTGTATTGTGATGATCAGAAGGAGGCTTTATGTGTCTGTTTGCGTTGTGTTTGACATTCCTGCTCTGGGTGGCTTTTGCTGTGTGGGGCTTGGATACGACATGTGGTTGTCAACCGCTGTTTTCCCCGTCTTTTCCCTTCTCATCTGATGACACTAACTTTCACTCAGTGCCTTTCAGGCTGAAATTCCTCTGGCTTGAACTCATAGTCGGGGAAAAAGCCAACTGCCCATCAACTTGGCTCAACTGTGACAAAAAAGAGGAAGCAGAAAATGAGAAATGTAGTCCGTGTGTGATGGGACAGTGGGGGGAGAGGGAGTGCTAGAGCTGCCTTCATTTTGCCCTCTGAAGTCCATCTTTTTCTTATTGGTGAGGATTCCCACTGTGATAGGACTAAGCCTGAGGCGGTGTATTTTATTGGATCCAGGCTATGCTGTTTGTAATTAAATGATTTTAAATTTACACCATAGCACACTTCAGTGTTAAGACTGCAGATTGAATCACAAATCACAGAGGCTGTTCTTTTTCAGTAAGGATAAAATAATAGACTCAATAGTTTGTTTTGCTATCAATGTTATCACAAAGTGGGATACTTCTTTGACTGAACATGTGCAATAAATCAGGCCGCTGAGCTTTCGAAGACGTTTTTCATTTTATCGTTTCACACGATCTTATGTATTAGATTACTAAAGTTATGATCATAATGCAAACAAAGGAAAGGACTTTCTGAATATGTGTTTTTTTTCTTTATTTTGCACGTTCGGGGTCGGGGCAAAATTTCCTGACTGCCAAATCTCAGATGAGATTGTCTACAGACAAGGACAGAGGATGAATCTGACACATTGTTGCAGCACATAACAGAGTTTAGACGAACCCCTGTGAAAAGTTTTTTCCTGTCATAGAGCTCTCTAAGTCCTCTCTGTGAGCTGTTATGATGTAAATGTGTGTGGTCTCTCACGCAGATTACTGAATAAAAACACTATGGCTGTTCTTCTCCGTCTCCTCGCCCTCTTTGACAGAGTGAGCTGTGCATTTCTTGTTGAACACAATCCATTCTTGTTGCTAGGAGACTGGTTGATCTTTTTTCTTGACTCAGCTCTCTTCATGTTATCCTTTTGTCTTTCTGTGTATCACACTGCATCCGTCTCTGACAATATTTATAAATGAGGTTTAATTAAGCCCAGGAATCAAAAGGTTTATATAAAGATGGCACAATAGTCAATCTCCAACAGTATGAGAAGAGGTGATGGTGTACCATTTTACTTTCAGATCCTTTCTGTTTTGTCGAAATGAGAGGCTTACTGTAGCAAACAGAGACATGTAGCTCATTATTGATCTGAGTTGTTTTGAAGTGATGGTGCTACATTTCTAAAAAATAATGCCAATGAATAAGAAGTTACCGAAATCCTCTCTATTAAAGAGTTTGTCCGCCAATGGATTTAAGAAATAGACAATAATGTCTTATACATGCACATGTCCTTTTGTCCAAGATAGATAGATTTTTTTTTTTTATTATTTTTTTTTTTACATGGACATCACCTTCACATTGGATGAGCCGGAGGCATTGTTTGAGTGTTTTAGCAATCATGCTTATTGTCAACACTTGTCCACAGGAGGCTTTAGAAAAGATAGATACAGGTAGTAATAATGAGTGAATCTCCAGTGAATGTGTCAACCTCATGTATTATCTGTGTGCAGTACATTGTTTTGTACTTTGGTTTCAATGTTGAATTTTTCCTTTGGAATCAATTTAAATTTAGTGTAACACCAATATGTTTTACAATATCTCATTTTTAAAAGTTCCATGAAATTGGGCATGTAATTGCTTTTTTTTAGGAGGATAAATGATGCTGCAGTGGAGCCTGATATTCTGTGGCCAATTTTGAAGGCTGTTGTTAGACAGTAGTTTATCCCAGTGTTATTGTTGTACTTCAACTGTATAATTTTAAGTATTGTGAAAATATAATTTGTGCTCCATCATTCATGTTCAGTTGATAAAAGACTAGCTAAAGCTTTTTATTTTTTGAGGTTGTGATAACAGCATTGACCAATCTGAAAATATAAAACTGCTCAGCCGAACAGCAGCCATTTGTATTTTAGACCATTGAAAATATGTGCCGAGGATTTATCTCATGATGTGTGGAGTTGATTGTGGAAACTGCTTTGAAATGCAGGCAATGACTTACGCCTAATTTTCTAAAGTGCCACCAATTCATCAATACCATTCATGCATTCACACTTAAAAATATTTGCAAAATAAAACTGAAAGTGCATGGCGTGACAGGAGTTAGTTTATGAAGAAAATATTTTTGAACAGTCATCGTTAATGTCTTCACTGACATGCAGCAGCATACTATGAGTCTGCTCTCCCCACAGGCAGCCATCTGTTAGAGCAGAGAAGAATGGAGGTATGCAGCGAGAGGAACATCTGGTCCGCTCTGAGTTTGCACCAACAGGGAACGTAATGGATGGGAGATTTACACTGAGCCAGGGCTACATATAAACCTATACTTTTGTTTTTATTGGCCTGCAAAGCAGTCAGTTATTATGTGCATCTGGCTGGATTATTTGTTCGTCATGCTTAATGATAGCCCTTACAGTATGATAGAGTCAGGCGATTACATTGGAAAATTGTTGTTTGATAATGGTTGCCGAGATCACAGCAGCATGATGTTACCTATCTTGTACCATAATACTGCAGCTTACTTATATCAACAGACTTGATAATGGATTTCTGTGGACATTATTGTGTATTACTATAGAAGGCATGAAGCGTAACCCAAGCTTTTATGCTTTTTATGGCTCTTGATCTTCATGCAACACACTTTAGCGACTGTAAATTATGTGTAATCTTTGTTGGATGATCTAGTTAGATATAACATTTCCACCACTATACATTGCCCATTGTAGCATATATGTTTACATCACACTTGTTTGCAACTATACAGCAGTATTGCAAATGTGAAGTACATTTGTTATTGAAATATATTTGAATCCATGTCCCTAAAACAAAGCAGGCTCGTTTTAGCTGTGGGTTGACGCGTGAAGATCAAGTGGATTAGTTGAAGCATTGAGTCTGCATTGAACTGGCACCATGCTACAGATGCTACAGTTATATTTGGAGATAAAACACTCAGCACTGCACTCATGAGAGACAGGAAAAAATTGCAATGAACGATCAATCTTGATACTTGCATTTAGAGTAAAGAAAGGGGGAAGGAATGGACCCCCATGAGTAGACAATATGTACATTAACCTTTACATCCATATTTGGATTCTAATGAAAGCATGATCACATTTTGAAGTGAAAACAAATATGGAAGTAACGTTTTTGCATTGAATGCATTGCAAGTTTTGCGTTGAATGCTTGAATCAATAAGAATGAAATGTGCCTACTTTCAGTGCTGTCTGATGAAATCAAGTCTGATGCGTGGAAACCTTGCGCACCCTTTCATGCACTCACTCTGGGACAGGTATAAAATCCACACTGAAGGAATTCCAAGCAGCTCCTTAATCCAAGCAAGTGCTGACTGAGGTTTAGATTGGATGAAAGGAATGAGGAAGGAACGAGGGATGTTGAGATGTGCAGGTGAGAGGGCAAAGGGTTTAAAGATGGCTCTGGGAGACGGGAAGAGAGAGGAGCTGAGATCAAAGCAGGGGGTTCTCCCTGAAAGTATGTGTGCTTTCCAGGTATTTCTTTGTCAAGTAGAGGTGGCTTATCTGCTCTGGGGCCTGTGCTACAGTGAACAATGAGTCTGTTTTAAAGACAGAAATAAATGTACTGATGGAACATATGTGACAGGGATCTTCTGTTAAAAGACTAAGATGTGTTGTTTCAAATGTTGAAAGAATTATTTCCTTATTATTTTTCTTCTTGTTTCTGTCGTCCTGCAGGTATGACTACAGGGAAATGCTCTACAACTCCACATTCTGTCTGGTACCTCGAGGACGACGGCTGGGCTCCTTTCGCTTCTTAGAGGCTTTGCAGGTCAGTGACTCACAAACAGATGTTGCTCATTAACACTAGGCTTAACTGTTTATAAATCTGAGTCTGTTGCATAATGGTGAGTCAGTTGTTTTGTTACACATTAAATCTCTCTGCAACTATCTGGGCACTTGCTATGAACCAAAAAAGTGAACAAATCATAGTAGGTTGATGCAACAGGTATTCCTTTTTCTGGAGTTACAGATTGTGCCTTTTAATTAAACTCACAAATATTCTAGTTTAGATTTAACCCTCATGTAATTCTGATTTATAAAGATTCAGATAGTAGTGCTTTAGGTTTGAGGTTAAGTGCCTAATAGGAAGGTACATTTTGGTAATTTGGTTTGTAGCTGAACTAAAAGACAAAATACTGCTTCAAGACATGTTACAGTGATTCAGCTGTGACGCTGTGTTTTCTGAACAATCAGGCTATTAATGCTTAGTGGTTAAGAATGGAAAAAGGGACATGATGGGTAACTCCCAGTAGCCCTCTCACTCACTGTCAGTCACAGTGTTAGGGGCAGACGGTGTTGATACAGCTGTGGCTGACTCACTGCCTGTCATCTCTTCTGTCTTGTTTTTTTATTCTTCTTTTCAATTCCTCCTTTGGTACTCTTTAACCACATCCTCGAGTCAGCCTGTCCTCTAACAAGCCTCTTACTCTTTTCAATACTGGAACTGGTTTCTCAATAGCACTTTTTCAATAGAGATCTGCTCTGTAACAAAGCTCTGCCATTGATGATGTTAAAGTTTCCCAAGTGACTTTTTTTTGAGGCAAGACAAGAGCAAGAAGGAAGAGTTAGTAGCAATGTTCATTGCAGCTTGTAAACACAACATTGTCAACATATAAAGTGCTCTGAGGTAGTTGTAATTAACGTCAGTGAAAATAGCATCTATTTATTTGTTCGAATAATGCAGAAAACAACAAATAAATGGGTTAGAAAGAGATATTTTCTGGGCCTCTTGCCTTTATTAAAAAGGATAGCTGAAGAGAGACAGGAAATGATAGGAGGAGAGACCGGGGGATGACATGTAGCAAAGGGGCGAGGTCAGATGTGAAATCCAAGTCTGCTGTGATAAGGACTATAGCCTCTGTACACGGGGTGCGCAAGATAACAGCTAGGCTATCCGGCACCCGAAGACAGAGATTCTTGAGCCTGTGTTGGGCTTAAAAGTTTACACCAGAAGTCAGAATATGACTGTTTGTTGACAGGAATGGAGAGATAATTGTACCACAGGGGAGCCAGGATTGAGTCGAAGTAAGACTGGACTTATGACCAGGTACTCACAGGGGGAGAAATCAGTGCAGCGGCAGGGGAGATAGCGTGCAGCAGAGGTTAGCTGGAGTGGAGGGCTGGACTCTGGCCTGGAGGTATTAGTGAGTCTTTCCTCTCTCAGCCTTAGACAGGAGAATGTGAGTTGAGGAGGGCAGGTAGACACTGGATGAGTATGGGAAGTTAAAGGCCAGGCCAGCTCGCTGTATTAGCTACATTAGAGCAGCCCTGATAGTAAGTAGAAGTCCAGAGTTTGGATGTCAGATGAGGAGGGCTGACCTCCAGCAGATGACCGTGGAGTGCAAACCTGCAGGATCAGGTTGTGCGATGCAGGTGCCCTGACCAGCAGTAGGCTGGAGTCACATTGAGATTCTCTGCTACACGTGTGTTTGCCAATTGTAGGCAGTGCACAGCAGGGAGTCTTATTAATGAATGTTTGTCCTGTGTGTGTGTGTGGGTGTGGGTGTATAATGTGATGAGCTGGGAGAGGATTGAGCTCCAGGAGTCTCTAGTTGATTGCTCCGAGCAGATAGGTAGGGAAAACATGGAAGCGTTTCAGCAGATTGCTGCCTTTGCTAATGACACCAAGGAGATTAGACGGGCACTGCAGCACTTGGATGCAGGAGCGTTTGTGCTGTGTGTGCATGTGTGGTGACCAAGGCCAATCAGTGAATGGTACCACACTTAACAGATTAAAGGGCCGGTCACTGCAGGCAGGATGCTTCAAACACGCATCTTAGGAATTAAACTCATGGCACAAATATGTACACCGGTTTGTGCTCACAAATGGGTGAATACAAAAATAAGGGCACAGAAAACAAGGATTTTATTAATCTCTTGAACGCATTGTTTTGATGTTCAAGTATGTTATGAAGTGTGTCTTCCTCTCCACATAACATACAGTCATGATGATTTTATGAAGCTGTCCTGTCTATTCTCTCTTCCAGTTAGTCATCAAGATTCTACAGTGGTTCTGTACTAGATGGAAATGTGTTTGAAGATCAGTTGCTCCTGTTGGCTAAATTGCCTGATTGAATTGCTTGGGAAATGGTCCATGTGCAGTGATGGCATCGGTTTGCACAGCATAAGCCATGTCATGTTATTTTCCGGCTTTCTCCTCTCTGCAGTTTTTAATTTATTTGATTGCTTGTTGCTTTACAAGCTGAAAATATGAATCTCTTTAACCGCCTCTGTCTTCTGTGTTTGTGTGTGTTACTTGTGCAGGCGGCTTGTGTGCCAGTGATGCTGAGTAATGGCTGGGAGCTTCCCTTCTCAGAGATTATGGACTGGAATACAGCGGCTGTAATTGGGGATGAAAGGCTGCTATTACAGGTAAAATCTTAAAAAAGATCTTAAAGTTGGATTTTTTTTGTCACAACAAACAGAAGAAAAGTTCATTGTACACTGCTGCCACATTGTCTATTAATCTTTTATTTTCTTTAGTATGACAGCATTGTTGACCCCAATTTCATCAGACCTGATCTTTTAAAGGGTTTGTGAGAGCTAAAGCCGTATGTTTGCCTCTTAGAATTAATGTTGACTGATTTCTTATCTAATGACATATTTTCTTTGCTTTTTTTGACCTTACTTCTAAAGCTTTAAATCTCCAGTGCAGACCAAGAGTTACTTTTGAGCTACTGAATTGTATATGCTGACACACATGTTCATTTGTGTCTCAGATTCCTTCAACAGTGCGCTCCATCCACCAGGATAAAATCCTGTCCCTGAGACAGCAGACGCAGTTCCTGTGGGAGGCTTATTTCAACTCAGTGGAGAAGATCGTGTTGACCACACTGGAGGTACACACAGTCATGATCATACATACGATACTGTTGCACACAAATATGGTGTTTTTGAGTATCTCAATTGTTCCCCCACATTTATTGACGTGCAGAGTGTGCAGCTGCAGACAAAATACTCACGACGAAACATCTCCAGGCTCGATAGAAACCAAGAGGGATAATGTATACTCTTAAACACTGCTGTCATGTTTTTGAGGCCGTTTCTTTCTGTGGTTTGGCTATCAATCATGTCAGTAGTTTGTTCCTGTCAGATACCATTTGTCTGTTTTCTTCCTGCTGAGCAGCAGGCTATCGCACTGCTCTCAGGCTAGAATTACAAACAAGCAAAGATGAGAACAGGGTGGAATCAAAAAAGGATAAAGGAGCTGGCAGGGTGTGTGAGGCTGTAAGTAAGGCAGGAATTGAAGTTACTCGCAAAAAATACATTTGTGTATCCCCACACGTACTAGCCACTACCAGCAGTGTACCTTTAACTTAATATTAATAAATGCTTAGCTGATGTTTCTTCTGTTACTTACTCCCTCAGATAAGCATTGGCGTTGTTTTTTTTGTTGTTGTGTTGCTCATAAAGCATTATTTGCTGACAGCAGTTAGTCCTCAGATAGTGTTACAGAGGCCTTTTCCCAGGAGGTAGGAAGTCAGATCACTGGACTGCACAGCTGGGATTTCTATGTCAGCAGGCTGAAGTTACAGCCCCAAGAAGCTGATCTTCAATCTGTTTACACTCTCAGTATTTCATCCCTGTTCCAACACATGCCATAGTACAAGACTGTAGGGAGGACAGGGTTTCGGCTTGAAATAGAATCTATTATTGAGCTTGCAATTCATTTGAATTCCTGAGGTGACTTTAGGTATTGTTTTGATAACCAGGTGAGGTTCCACTCAAGTATCTGTTTAGTGCCACAATATCCTAGCAGAAGTAAAAAGGCTTTGTTTTGTTCTGTAGTTGCCACATAGCTCCCCGAGAAAGCTTAATATTTAATGAAGGTATCCTCTCACAGTGCCAGAGTCTTCTTAAAGCTTTGAGGGAGTGGAAGCAGTTGATCCTGTAAATCCGTTTTAGATGTTTGCAGACTCTGGTTGCATGTTGAGAGTCAGGGAAAGAAAAAGAAAAAACATCAAACCCATCACAAGATCAAATCTGTATTTGATGAACATTAATTTCATATCAGTTAGGAAATTATGAAATCATTTTTAAGAATACAGTGTTAGAGCACAATATTAATATATCAGCCAGGTAATGCATAAAAACAAAACAAATAATATTCATCCCCAAAAAATTCAAGTAGAATAAAATGACAGGACAGGAATTTGTTTTGTTATGACAAGACATGATGGCAAAAAATGAGCAAAAATGAACATACATATACTAGATATTGCAGTTTCTTATTTGCAGTGATTCATTGTTTCAGCAGAATATTTGAGAGAGGATGTGTCTGCACTCACGCTTCCAAGCATCTTATTACACTGGGATAATCATTGCTTAATTTGAAGTGTATGGACATGGAAAATCTTGGCTCTAAGCAAATGTCCTACTGGCATCCTGTTTACTGTTTCCAATTGGTTCCACTAAGGATTTATCTTGGACTTGAGTTGCTTCTCTTTGAGTCACATAAAGACAATTAGCAATCAATAGACCACTTTGCAGAAGACATAAATATGTTTTTCCTCCGCTCCCTTATTTATGCAGATCATCCAGGACCGGGTGCTGCGGCACACCTCCAGGAGTAACCTGATGTGGAACAGCTTGCCTGGAGGCCTTTTCACCCTGCCTCAGTACTCCACACACCTGGGGGAATTTCCCTTCTACTACGCTAAGCTCGGTCAGTTCATTATTCATGCATATGCTGCTGTTGGCTACGAACAGCATTAACGCTACACCCTGAGGTTTGATTTTCATCACACAGCTCGGGAACATCTGGTGTGTGGCAGCTGCTGAATCCTCAAACTAACATGTGACTCAGTGACATTGCCACAACTTAGGCAGTCCATCTTTATTAATTCATGATTCGTCACAACGAAGCTCACCAATTAGACCTGCCATGTTGTTGTGCTGTACTTCTGCTGTGATTAATTGGACAAACATGGGGCTTGTTGCTGACCTTGGGATTTATTTTAATTGGCACCTTTCTCCTTTACATGCCTTATTAAACCTTTTTTCTCTTACACTGAATGCTGAGTAAACACAGCTTGAAGGTAACAAGAACAAACTACAGGATGCTCAAATATGTCAACATAGTTTGACGTCAGACAAAGTCCAGCTTTGTGCAGTTCAGTTTGGAAATTGTAATAGTAAAGACAAATACACTAAATCACAGATATACTACACAGATACTACATACTTATAAACTTCTCATCCTAACCAATCTACATTGGAGTGATAGTGTCGAATGAGAAGCAGAAAACTTTGTATGCATTAAAGGTTGAAAAAGCTTCTTGTCTCATCTTTATCGTGTTTCTGCTGTTCTCAGGTAATAAGCCGTACCCCAAGTTTACCGCCATTATTCACGTGGTGACCCCGCTGGTGTCCCAGTCACAGCCGGTCATGAAGCTTCTGGTGGCTGTGGCCAAATCCCAGTACTGTGCTCAGGTAATTCAAAGGCCAACACACCATACACTGCTATTAGCACCTCGCAGAGTTATAGTTTGACTGACTGAATCTGCATTTGTGAGTAGATCTCCCACTGAAGTGTCATTTCATCCTAATTTATCAAATGAGGAAGAAGAAACGAAAACATAGAGTTTTAAACACTATGTTTTAAGATGTTATGCAGAAATGGAGCAAAGCAGAAAAATGGGCTGTTAGTCTATGGCAGAATTATTTTTAGGTTTATCACATCACTACAGTCCGGTTTTGACTTTAAACTGCTTTTAAAATACATTTTTCTGTCACACTAGGGATGAAGGGAGGTTGTTCTAATAATTTCACAACAGATCCACTCGGATGCTCCTCTCTCTGCAGATTCTATAATAACACGACTGCACCTGAAATACAGTAAAGCATTAACATTCCCAGAGTTATAGAGTGTGCTGCTGGAACAAATTACATTGAATTGAGTGAATTTAATTGAAAAGGGACGTGAAAGGGATGTGCTGCACAGAGAGTTTAGAGCTGTTGCTGATTTCCATAATGTACTGTGGTTCTTGTAAAGGGCTGCTGACAGTTCTGAAAATAGATCTACTGAAGAGTTTGTATGTTGTCGTCTCTCACTTGAATAGGACGCAAATCAAACGTTGTCTTTTGAATTGAAACAGGGCTTTATTGTGCGTTTCTGGTCTTGCATTTATAACCAAGTCAGACATGGAATGTTAAACATTAATGAACTTATAAATATCTCACTAGGGTAACATACAGTAGGTGTGCAGATGAACATGAGCATGATGTATTCAGAATGATGACTAAGCTTCACCTGTGTGCAGGTGATCGTTTTGTGGAACTGTGACAAGCCTCTTCCTGCCAAGCACCGCTGGCCCGCCACCTCTGTCCCCGTCATCGTTATAGAGGGAGAAAGCAAGGTACACTTCTCTCATCAAGCAACGTTACGTTCCACATAGAGCCTTCACTTGAATCCAGGTCAAGATGAACAAGTTACAACTTGCAGACATTTCAATGTTTCTAACCACATATTAAAAAGATCAGAGTTCTCATTGTTTATTGATGTTTCAAGGCTCTCTCTGGACTTTTATTTTCTTCACACTGCCCTTTGCAGATAATTAGTTTTAGAATCGTTGAACAATGGGATCATGGAAAAGCGCCAGCCTCAAACACTTTTACTCTTATAAAGAGTTTAGACATTTGAAAACTTCAGATATTATTTTATGATACAGTCTCAGATGTGTCCTGGTTTAAATTTTGAAAAAAAGTTTCATGTGATTAAAAACATTACCGTATGTCTAAACATCTTTTCATTTTTACCCAAAACCTTGCAGCTTTCATGTGTATAGATTTTTTTGTAATTTAAACATTGGATAGCAGTTCCTAAATGTGTCCCTCAGCTAAACCTCCTTTTTATATACTATTAATCAAATGAGTATTTCATGTGGTTGAATAAATCCCAGCAATATTAGACAAATTAGAACTGAGGAGCAGGGACAAAGGGGACTTTTAAGGTCAGTTGCAAAAGCAGCTGCACAGATGGGTCCCCGGCAGCCACCAGCAGCATTTGTCAGCACTCTTCTACTACACATGAATTATCAAAGAAACACAATGACATATTTTTGAGAACAGCCGTATCCAAAGCATATAAGAGGGATGTGACTGAGTACGTATTTGTTGCTGTGACTAATGGAAAGCCTTTTGGTATATTCAGGAGAATAACTGGCACTTTCTGTAGTGTGCTTGAGTTTCCTTGCCAAAGAGTAGAGGCTTCAGGGTTCATCGTGGAGAGAAAACCGCTCTGCTGCTTGTAGATTTCTATCTGTGGTTACATTTCATCAGTGGAGCGCTGTATTTCTGCTGTCATCTGTTTTATGTCAGTATGTATGCTTGGCTGACTCTACTGTAAATGCAGCAAAATTCAACAACTTTGTAGCATGATGTGAAACCTGTAGCGCTTCTTGTTGGGCAGGTGTTACCTCACCTGTGCACACATGGACTTTGTTTGTACCCTGGTTGTTTTTACCTGTTATTTGCTTATTGTTGTTTTTTTGTTTTTTTTGTCTTTGTTAATCACACCAGGTTATAAGCAGTCGTTTTCTTCCCTACGATACCATCCCCACTGATGCTGTACTCAGTCTGGATGAGGACACAGTGCTGTCCACCACAGAGGTCAGAGAACCGTCTTTTTAATTAAGACTACATGCTGCTAATGTTCCTGGAATGATGTGTTCCTGGTTTCCTGGCCTCATGTCTTCTGCCTCTTTGATTCTCTCTGACCTTGCTCCAGGTTGACTTCGCCTTCACTGTGTGGCAGAGTTTCCCAGACCGCATTGTTGGCTACCCAGCCCGCAGTCACTTCTGGGACAGCAACAAGGAGCGTTGGGGTTACACCTCCAAATGGACCAACGACTACTCCATGGTCCTAACAGGGGCTGCCATCTATCACAAGTACTGAGATACAACCATTTTCTACCCCGCCCTGCTTCTGTCTTGTAGTTCATTCCTTTACACTCTATTGTTGTTTCGATTTTGTTAAATACTGACGCCTTTTATCTCTCACTGTTTTCTCCCAGGTACTACCACTACTTGTACACCTCTTACCTTCCAGCCAGTCTGAAAGCCATGGTTGACCAGATGTCTAACTGCGAAGACATTCTGATGAATTTTCTGGTGTCGTCTGTCTCCAAACTTCCACCGATCAAGGTCACTCAGAAAAAACAGTACAAGGAGACAATGATGGGACAGGTGAGGCCGGAAATGTATGCATGAAGGTTGAACAGGAACTGTGCGAGGGATTGTTGTTGATTACTGATCGCTGGTATGGCTCTTAGAGAACAATCAGTAGTTGGTCTTCTTTTGAATTTTCATCTGAGTGATGTCTATGCATACTAAAAAACAAAGTAGAAGTATGATTTGATTACCAATGTTCTACGTTGTGGACAAATTCTCCCCAAAGTGTGCAGTTGAATCGATGCAGGTGGTGAGATACTGCAGGGTGCATAAAATCAGTACAGGAGCAATTTAATACCAAGTCTTGTGTAGATGTGTGAAGAAGCTTAAACAAACACATATAGATTTATGAACATAAACATGTAGGCGTCATCAAAAGTTTCTGATCGGTCTGTGAGCGCCTTCATTTGTATTTCGAACAACTAATGAGGGCTAGCTTGCAAGTAACTAGCAAATCACAGCGACTAACAAACACCTGGCCTTGATCTGTCACAGCCCACATCCTTGTTTATATTCTTCACACAGATGCTTAGTGTTGAATAAACAGATGTGTGTTTATCCTGATATTTGTAGAGGCTGTTGACTGTTAGACACTTCATACCACTTAAACCTTAATAGTGTTAGCTGTTGAAACATCATCTATTCGTAAATTTGAACAGCAATTAGCTTTCTCGCAATATGGCATTCAATAAATAAATAAATAAACGTGTGAATAATTGCAACAGGCTCTGAAAGGTCAGTCATCATAGATGCATTATTCATTTGTCTGTCTCTCTTTTTCCCCTCTCTCCCCCCGCAGAGCTCCCGGGCATCTCGCTGGGCCGACCCAGACCATTTCGCCCAGCGTCAGACCTGCATGAACAAGTTTGCCAGCTGGTTTGGCACCATGCCGCTGGTCCACTCTCAGATGAGGCTGGACCCAGTGCTGTTCAAAGACCAGGTGTCTATTCTGCGGAAGAAGTACAGGGACATCGAGAGGCTATAACCCTCCAGAGCCCCCCCCACGCTTGACACAACAAAGTCAGAGTGAGGGAGGGTTGGACATGTAAAGAAACGTGGAGCCTTTCCGTGATTGCTTGGGACAGATCAATGGAGAAGCAAATGGGATTTCATGCGGGCTGAGAGGAGGAAAATAATCTAAACAGATGTGGAGGACGCAACATTAACTGCACTCCTCTGCTGTGTCGTCCTTTATTTCTCCTTTCTACTCTCTCTCTCTTTTGTGTTTTGGGGAACAGATGAGCACACAGGTCTCACTCTGTACACTAACACTACCACCGACTGAGGACACCTGATGACTTAAAATCTACTCCACTTTGAACTGAATTTGTCAAAGTCATGGAGTTGGAAATCCCAGCTTGCTGCTTCAGTGTCCCCAAACTGGTTCAAAAGACTTTTTCCGTTCTGTAAACTCTGCACAGGTTCCACAAACTTTTTGCTGACAGAATATTATTGATAATACTGACTATGAAGAGGATAACACTATTTTGGAATGTGTCTAGCTATTTTTTCTATCCAGTGAACAAATGGCCAGCATTGCTCTCGGTGTATTGTCTTAACTAGCAGGGTGGTTGAGGAGAGGAATGACATTCCCCTCCACTACAGAACTGAGATGTTAACGATGGTTGATCTGATATTCACAGTGCCTCAAGTTTATCTAACGGCGTTGGGATCCTGGGACTTGGTGCAGAATGAGCACCTTGATCTTGCTGCTTTCTTTTTTTTTTCATGATTTGTGATTTTCTTTATGATCGATGGAATAACAGGTCTTGTAGTGAATTCTTCAGGTCAGCATTCCTCGCTGAAGTGTAATGAAAATTCATTTTCCCTCTCTCAAGTTAAATTGTCGTTATGTGCCATCTCGAGAAAAAAAATTCCTGATAAAACCACAACAGTCTTACAAAACTAGCTTGATATTTCTTATTTTACTTTGTGGGAAAATATTCACACAATGACTGTTCAATACTTATGACATTTAATGGCTTTTATTTCAGCAAAAATATTGTGTTTTTTTTGTTGTCCTTTTCTTTTTTACTCATAAAAGCTTATATAATGAGCTGGAATTGGTACTTGAATACGTGCTGGCCTGAAGAATAATAGCTCATAAGAATTTCTTGTGTTAGGGAGGCTGAACCTGCCAATGAAACACACACCACTGTGAAAACTAGGAAATACGTCTTTTGGGGTTTTGCTAGCAAGAGATATTATATATGGTTATTGCCCCTATGCCATAGATCCAATTTGACAACAAACTGACAAGTACTTGACATGAGCTAACATTTCAAACAGTGCTTATTGGCGTCAGAGTCGGTATTGTAGTTAATTGACTGTTTAACCCAGCTAGACAAGAATCCTCATCAAGCATTTTTAACACTTTTAGAAAGCACTGGGAAGATATGTGATCCTAATGGGAGACATGCTTTAATATGTACAGGAGTTACATTTGCGTTCAGTCTTAAACTAAATGGGTACAATTAGGAGCCTTTCAAATGTCAGTATATTTGTAGAACACCAGTGTGTGTCGCTCATAATCTCAGATGAATGGGTTTGGCAGTTTGCTGTTTGTGCTTGCGCCACATTGAAAATTAGAAGCGATGTATCACCAGGATTTGAGTATGTTTCACAATTCAGTTTGGCGCACACGTTCAGGTTTTACATGTTTGTCGGCATCTGATTAACTACCAGGCTGTGATTTGATGCCAAGTGTGAGTGGAACATGACATGAGGTTTGTTGCAGATGGATGAAAAAGGATTTTGGTTCCATCACTTCTATGACCACTCATCCTTCACTTTATTTACACTCGGTTCGTCATATCAGGTTATCTGACACATCATTTACAAATACTGACTATGTGCACTTGTGTCTTTAAAATCACTGTGCATTATCAGTATAACGTTTATTGATGCATGATGAATCCCTGTAAAGCCTTCGACATTACTATAGAACTCTAAGCACACCTTCCCCGACGCCTCCTCTGTTTGTTTCGGTTTCATTTCAGAAGATAAAAGACCTTTTTCATAAACATAAATGTTCTGTACCTGTCAGCCCAACTTGTGCCAATGGATCATATATGCTTTTATTTTTATGTTTTGTAATCATATGAGGAATGCCATGCATTCCCATATTGACATGGTTCATTAAAATGATTTCCTGTCTCTTTAAGAAAGTAAAATGTGTGAGAAAGAGTCCCAGCAGAGATGTGTGTTGTGTGGTATCTGTCGCTTCTGAGGATGTGCTATCAGCTCGACAGCAAATAAACAGCCCTGGTACTACTAAACACAAAGCTATCAAGACAACTGAATATGGTCGTAAACAGAAACGCATTTCAGAAAGAACCTTGGTGCAATATTTAAGATGACATTTTCTCTGTCTTTTTTTCTTTTTCCCTTCCTCTTGTTGTTATTGTTTCAGTGGGCAGGGGGTTATGTATTGATGTGCCTTCAGAAGAAATACATTTTTTTCCCCATCTGCCTTGTGCAAGAAAAAGGTCCCTGTTTTTCATTTCAATGTGGATTGTTTTTTGTTTTCTGTATCAATATTCAGTGAAGCATACTGGCTCCCTACATGATATGGTTTAACACTGGAATGATACTCTGACTTATCTCCACACATCTCATATTGACATTCCTGCCTTTTCTGTTGTAGGATCTATTGCCTTGTATTGATGTACATGGGAGGTCTTCTAACTGGTTGTCTCAAATATAGAAATACATGTAACACACACACACACACTTTAATTCTCCCATTCAAATATTTATCAGACAGGATTGTGTCTCAAATCTATGCCTGCTCCCTTCACTCTCTTCCGTAATCGCAGACCTAATTTTATAGAGATTTAAGATGGAAAGATAGAGGAAAAATCACGTTTTCTTTTTTGTAAAGGATTTTATAAAAACAAAAAAAGATCAATAAAATGTTTGATATAATTTATCTGTTGTTTTGTGGTAATTGTATGTCTTATTATTATTTTGATTCTTTTTGGGCTTTTGCCTTTATTTAGATAGGGCAGCTTTAGAGAGACAGGAGACGTGAGGAGATCGAGAGGCGGGGACGAAAGCATCAGGAACGAGAGTTGAACCTGCAAACACTGTGACAAGAACTGTAGCCCGGTACATGGGCTGTCAGCGCTAGTAACTGAGCTAAACCAGTGCCACTAATGCGTTCTTTATGTTCTTATCATTACCAAATGTACTGTTTTAAATCAAACTTAATTATAACTATTACCTATTTAAAGACTACAACATTCTTTAAAAGATAAAAATTCAGAAGCTCTTACCCCCTTATTTCACCTCATCAGCCCTCTTCCTCTCTGACCTGTTAGCTACCCATTTTCAGGCTTCCAAAACACATTTTTGCGTGTTGGTTTTTTTGCACGGAACCCACTGAGGGAGAGCCAAACCAAATAATACCTTTAGCTTCCTCCTCGTGTGTGTGTGTACCTCATCGGATGCCAAGAAACTGCTGTGTTTACATAAATCTGTGTCAGGATGATTGGTTTAGACACGCTGCATAAATAACAGCATCTTTCCAGGATGATCCCATGGTGCATGAGAGCTGCCAACTCAGCTGGAGCAACAGCTTCAGGACAGATCGCTACCCCAAAAACACACACACACAAACACATAAACACGCACACACACAAAAAGAAACTAGGCTAAACTCTGACAGCAAAAAGATGGTTGGTATGTCAAAGCTGGACCCATGCCTGCATGGGATAAATGATCAGATGTGGAACCCAAAGGAAAAGCATATGGACAGTGAAGACCACATCAACAAACTCCAGTCCAGATGTGCAGAGGCTTTGTTGCATGGTATAAGTTGAAAGCAGTTTTTTGATTACCAAAAAGAGAAACTTTACTGCACTGGGGGGTTCAAGTGCCAAAAGCCTATTTGCATGATAGAATGGTATGCTAATCAGTCCTTGTCTCTTAATCCAACTGATGAGATATGTATCTTTGCAGCCTGGAGATGGATCTCAGCATGCATGGAGTCGGGACTCTTGTTTTTTTTGTTTGATTAATATCAGTGACTTGAGGCTAAATGTGACAAATTGTCCTTCAAGTTTAAATCAGATATGATTGCAGCTTGATTAAAAAAGTTTTACTCCAAAATATGAAAGAGAAATGCTTCAGTTTTACTTTATAACTGATTTCTTTAATTTTGTAGACCTACATTTTTTGTATGTAGGGAATAGTCTAATTATTTTGTTACTTGTCCATTGCAGTTGATATTTCGTGTACATTATAAATAACATGTTATGTGCACTAAAATGTTTCACAAAATAACTTTTCTTTGACTTGTTGCTAAATGTATAAAACAGTAGAGAAGGGTTAAAGTGATTCAGAGGTTATGATAATGACAAGACGTTATCCTGTACAGCCCTTAAAGTATAATACATACTGACAGGTAACAAAACCAATAATACAGAACTCACAATACTAGTTTAGAACTAAACTGAAATACCATTCATATAATGAGTCAGATGACACCCAACAGCACCCTATCAAACAAAATACAAATAAGTGTAAAAATTTAATGAAAAAATAAATTTGCCAATTAAAACTTAAATGAAATAGATCTGAACGAAGCCTTAAAGGCCACAATTATTCTCCTTTTCTACACGTTTAAATAAGTCTCAGAGCCCCCCAAAACATGTCTGTGAAGTTTCTTGACAAAAATCCTCTCTGATCCTTTATTTGATCATGCCTATAAACTATTTCAGCCCTGCTCAGAACAGGCTGTTTCTGTGTCTACAGCTTTAAATGTAAATTAGCTGTGTCTGACCACGCCCCCCTGGAAGGGCATGGGTTGATTGGGCTTTCTTGCAACACGCCATTTTGTTTACGGTTGAAAGGCGGACTCAGGACAGAACAAACACATACTGTGGGAGTGTCACCCACCTGGGCTAGGGGTTCGGTTACTGCCATTGTGATGTCACGAAGAGAAAATCTCCAAACAGTCTGTTTGAGCACACGTTTTCTGAAAAGTGGAGCAGGCAAAAGACAGAGAGGATGGAATTTTCTCACAATTGGGGGGTTTGTAGACAAGCTAAGGACACAAACAGTATTCATGTTGAGACTGAAACTGTTTGCACCTGAACGCCACCCAACACCTCAAAGAAAAGCTGATGAGTTCAATCAAAGCAGAAGAGGCTCCCTATGATGACATTATTGAATACATTCAGATTAGGCACATTGTGCTAATATAAGCCAGAAACAATTAATTTTACAGGATTAAATGAATCTTTTTCTTCAATCAGTTTTTGCCTATAGGCTGCAGCTATACATTTAGCTCATGCACATGAGTGTTTGTGTGTACATGTAACAGTGCTTCAGTAAGTCCAAAGCATGAGATGTTTTCTTTCATGCCGCGGTGTTGATAATAATATACTTCTGTTTAGGTATGGAGAGATGAACAGATGTTTAGGCTTTGTGACTCACACCATGCACGTCAGCAAAGTATCTGAAGCAGCAGAGCATCAGTATAGAAGTGGCTGGTTTCTCTGATGCTGTTGACATGCATAACAATCACATGATATCAGCAGAAAGCAATCAGCTATCTGGTTAAATTTATCTTGTTTAACAGATGGCAGCCCAAAACTGTGTCACCATCCAGACAGGGCTGTGCAGCACTCTGTTATTATGAGTCATTACTGTGCTGAACAAGACATTAGATAAATTGCTTAATTTAATATTTTCATAAACTGGAGAGACAACACATCCACATTTTAATTGGACATTATTCTAAATATATTGTTTTCTCTGTAAGCGTTCATTCATGGAACAATTTGAGGTAATTTGCCATGGATCAATAATTTATTAATCTCACATTGAGCTGTTAATGCAATGATGCAAAATGATTTGATGATCTGATTCTGAAGCACATTTGTACATATTTAAATATATTAGGTAAATTGCTCTTGATCAGAACAGTTAATCATTTGGTTGTAAAGCATTATCATGCAGCTCAAGTGCATTGTGACTTGATCGTGTTTTTCATTCAGCTTTGTGCAGGAGTTCACTGAATGTAAATTTAAATACTCTGATTAATCATTTCTCAAATCAAGCTGATAAGACGAACTAAACAAAACATTTATCTAATGATGTGAGAGTAATACCAGCCTCAGTTTCCTGTCAGTCATCCCCATATGCCCTGTTATTCATAAACATGCTTCATTGGCAGCTTTTCTGCTGCAACAGATTATGTGGTCTACGAGACAAATCGGCTTTACCACATACCTGTTTTGCTATTTGATTGTAGATGAATCAGTCTGAGGTACACGTTTCTTCTCATCTCTGTGGTTAAATACTGGTGTGTATTGATTTGTTGTCTGAATTTTTGTCTAGTTCCCTTTTGAGAAAGGACTAAATTGGTTTGGGAGGCTTGGGATTTTTTTCTGTAAACAATGTGTGGCCTACTATTTATATCTTTACATTCTTCATGTAGCCTAGATGTAGTATAACTGAAGGTAAAATAGTATCTTACCTGAAAATAACGCTGACAATTAGCCTACTCTGTTCCCTTACACTATGCCATCATGACTTAAATTAAGAAACCTATTTAAATAATTGCATTTGTACATTCCCTGCAATGACTTGTAAAAATACTCAAGCAGAAAAATCAAAGGGGGTCAAAATGTTGTTTTAGTCCACTCTGCTGACTGTAGTAGGTCATAGTAAAAGCCCTTCTTCTTATGTTAATAGTGCTAAAACTCATGCTAACAGCAACAACAACAACAACAACATCAACTTAATAGTAATATATATATATATATATATATATATATATATATATATATATATATATATATATATATATATATTTTTTTTTTGTTTGATTAATATCAGTGACTTGAGGCTAAATGTGACAAATTGTCCTTCAAGTTTAAATCAGTTTAAATCTGCTTTTTGCAGGCCCACTCTGATTTTTCATCATATTCATGAAAGTCAAGCGCCTACCATATATATATGGTAGGGTTAGGGTTACCCAATATTACCTAATATTGGATAATATTGTACCAATATTACCCAATATTAACAGTAATATTAATAATAGTAATAAAAAAACTTAATAAATAATAATAATAATAAAATACATAAATAATAATAATAATAATAAAATAAATAAATAATAATAATAATAATAATTATTATTATTATTATTATTATTATTATTAATAGTAACAGTAATATAACCCAATATCAACAGTAGGCATATATGCCTACTGTTGATATTGCGCCTTACATATGCTACAGCGCCCCTATCTCCTCCTGCTTGGTGCTGCCTGTGGTTGGTGTCCGCCTAATGGCTCCGCCTCCTATAAGCCTCTCCAGACTCCTCCTCCGCCATTTTTGACTGTAAACATCCTGCCGATTTTAAAAGGACAGCGGTGAGCGGGAGGAAGGCGACTGGCGCCATCTTGGCAGTTTTAATGAGTACAACAGGGGAGAATTCGCTGGGAGATATAACATAATCATTTGAAATTTCAATCTAAGAGGGGGAACTGTCGGTAAGTGTGTTTGCATATTGAATAGTTGTGCGCAGTTTATTGTACATTGTGAGGTGAAATAAGCATGCACGGTTGTGTTTATTAGCCGCGGCCTGTGTCGCAGCAGGAGGCGTTAGCCACCAGCTAAGTGCACAGTTCTGTTTTGATTGGCGCCTCATTTCTCTGTGATTTACTTTGTCCTCGTGTCTTGATTATATTTTCGTTCCTCGATTATGATTTTATTTTGTCCATCAGACTGGTAACACCTGCTGCAGGCTGTGATTAACACGGACTAAAGATGGTTTCATAGCTTCTTTTGTAGCTAGCGGCTAACATAACGTAAATGTAGTTCATCCCACTTGATGGCGCCGACTATTTACTGGCGTGGACCAGCCCCTTGGCGCTTTTAACATATTATCATCTATTTGGTGCATACACAACC